GATGTGGTGTGCGTGCCAAAAAATGAAAAATAGGGATTCACTGGCCAGAAAAAGCCAGCTGTGTGATGTAGACCAGGCTAACATTAGTGGCCGTCAATAGCCATGCAAGCTGTTGAATGGTGTAATCCCAGCACAAATTGCTACATGTACATTGTATGACATTGTCTAACACAGCTTGTTCGCTATCATCTCTTCAGCGATGGGCATGTGGAAGTGGAAGTGTATTTGCGTGCGATGTGTGTGTGTGTGTGTGTGTGTGTGTGCGTGTGTGTGTGTGCGCTGTGTGTGTGTGTGCGCGCTGTGTGTGTGTGTGTGTGTGTATGTGTGCGTGTATGTGTGTGTGTATGTGTGTGTGTGTGTGTGTGTGTGTGTGTGTGTGTGTGTGTGTGTGTGTGTGTGTGTTTACTGTAGGACGGCTGACCTCATTCCGATCCAAGGTTAGGAATTGAGAATATGCCGCCGGATATGGGTCGACCCAGGACATCCCTACTGCCACACAGTTCGCATGTATGAAGGGCATATTTAAACCCTACACCTCTAGCTACTACTAGTATCCTACATGTATTTCAAACGTACGTGTATCTGTATTGGTCTCAAGTCACTGCCTGCTTCTGCGCTGTATACTGCTAGTGGTGGTTTACTAGGTTCAACGTGGACGCATACCGACCATGCCATGTCCGATTTGGTCCGGAGGATGTACTCATCTTGACAGGGGCACTGGGTTCGCCAAGGTTGACAGGACACGTGCCATTGGCGTACTGTGGCAAAACACTGTCATTGTGTCAACCGAAACATACCAAGGATATTTTCTTGCACTATCATCACTCTCCAATGAAGATGAACTCAGATATCATAATTATCATGATGACCATGATGTACTCAACGTCTCAATCTCCGGATAGCTACTGAGCTATGTACAATGTACATGTACATGTACATGAAGCTGTTTCGACCTTGCTACTATGCTTGTAGGTCTCTTCAGTAGAGCTCCGAGTTACCATGGTTACTGGCCGAACCGAACGCAATGAAACAACATTTTGAATACAGACAGTACTATCGTACGGCGAAGCTACGAGAACGAGCAGGCCAGGCAGAATATTACCAGGTGCAGGATCACGTGACCCATATCATGGCATAATAAATTATTTAATTACATGAACACGGTGGCTGAACTACGGACAGTTCTTCTACATAGTCATTGTACATGTCATGAACATGAAAGCTAAGACCAGCCTAAGCTACGACCCTGAACCCAGGCCCCAGTTCTTCGGCGCCAAACAGTACGCCGGCTCAAAGCAGCAACGTCAGAGTGCTCTAACTATTACTTCTAGTCTAACAGTGATAGAGCACTCTGACATAGCGAGCTTTGCACCTAGTATTAACCAGGGCAGATACTGATTATGTCATGTACTTTGACGATAACCAGAAAGGGTGCTCGACAAAGCTGAGGCAAGGGAGCTCGATATCCGGATGGCCAGGCTTGTGTTAGGTACCAGGTATGGTCTCCCCAGCGTAGCTCAGAGGGACTGGCCGAACCGATCGCAATGAAGCCTAATGTCACCGCAGAGCAATATAAAACCGGCTCAAAGCATGTACATGATTGTATTAACATACAAATGTAATTATTTTATAGCATAATCTCAGTCTCTCTCACTCGACACAAAGAGCGGTTGGGTACTTGTACATTTTGGATGAACATGGTACATGTAGGGACATCACTGCACGTACGGGGTCTCTGTCGAGCCAGTTGAGGATAGAGGCCCCGCTGTCCGTCGCATTCTGCAAGTTCTGGACTCCAAACAGAAAGGAATGTGATCTTGATAGACACCAAGAGCGCACAAACCTCTTGAAAACAGTCAGTTGTAGCATTCCTGACAACATGACGCACAGGGTACAAGATATCCACACCAAGGCCAAGGGCAAGGAGTAGTCTAGTGTAGCATGGTGTACTGTAGTCCATGAGGTCCATGAAGAGATTCATGCATCAGGGTTCTATTCTAGCCAAAGCGCAGCGCCTTGCTAGAACCCCCTCCTCGCAGTCCTCGGGAACTGGTGTGCATGCAGTACTGTATTGACATTGTTTCCAAGGACAACAATTATTTCTTTGGGTAACAATGAGCAAAGCAAAACAAAGACACCGACATGCAGTAGAATGTACCCACAGCTATCAAGGGAGGGGAGGAGGGGGGGGGGGGGCTAGTGTTTACCCAATACTGGCAATAGTGAATACGCTGATTGGTAATGCATGTCCGAGGTCAGGTGACTTGGATAACACACAATGTACATGACTGTATGTTGGGCTTGTTGTGTTGCCTGATGATTGCGAAAGCATGAAACGTACATGTATGTTGGGCAAATGGTAGAGTTGCATGATGACCGCTGCTCGCATCCCATAGTCCCATGTCATAGTACTGTACCATCATGTGGCTGGTGGGTTCTGTTCAGATAGAATTATAACATTCTCCCTCCTGCCTGCTGTTTCCCTGCAACCGGTTTTTAAGAATGGCCGAACCCCCTCCTCCGAAAGATTATAAGCACTATCGGCTGCAGTATCGCTCACTGCCTCCACTACGTCCTCCTCTCCTCCTCTCCACCGATCACCGTACACTGTAGCTGACAGAGGGGCGGGCGTTTGGGGGTGACATGCCTCACGTCAGACGCTACCACGCGGCATCACTACCCAGACTAGACTCTAGAGCCAGTAGAGGCAGACTCGTCTTACCCTCAGCCCCACCATTCAGTTCCTGGAACTGAGTGGAAGCCACCAGGTCGCAACTGGAATAACCAGCTACAGCCACCTCACATCCTCAGCTGGAGACTGATGGCATATCCGCCTTCAGGTTCCCTAGCTGCAGCCATCAGTAATCATGGTGTTCACAATCAAGCCTCTACCAATGCATCAATTCTCTCTTCCCCCCTCCCCAGGCTCAGGTGGACCTCATCATGAAGCCCTTCTAGTCCGAAGGAAGAGGTGAGAAGAAGATGGTTCTGGCGGGGCTGAGGTGCCTCAATACGATATAATATATGATGAGCAGTTGAGCACCTCCTTACCCATACTGGTTACATACAGTCATGTACATGTACATGCATGTACATGTACATGTACATGTACATGTACACTTACATGTACATGACTCCTCAACCATACATGTACATGTACATGGAAACACTATTATAGAAAGAGACACTTCGAGCCTCAGGTTCGTCAACAACAGCATCTTTGAAAAAGGCTTCACACAAGTAAACGTTCGTGCCTTCTCCTCGGGTGATGTACATGTACATGCAAGAACAGAGGAGCAGGAACAATGAGCAAAGAGGTGATAAAACAGCGCAAAGAAGAATAGGCTGAGCTAAAAACAACAACGGCGTGACACATGCACATCGAAAAGGATGACAAAAAGGTGAAAGGATGGACTTACGCACAAATGGTTGAAGGTTTCCCATTCTTCATTTTCTGGCTGGTATTTTCTCTTTTCCTTTTGATCATGTGAATGTGCGACTCAAAAAGGAAGGTATTGTTGATAGGATAGAGTCGATAGGCTCATAATACCTGTATATGCACCGTGTCGCAGTACATGAATGTTATACTCGCACCACCTGCAATCGTTTGATGTACATGTATGGCAGATGCACGCTTCAAGTGTCAATTCCTCAGAAATTCCTTCCATTCATGTTTTCTCTGCATTTCTTGTCTCCATTAATACACGTACACCCTTCCATTCACCGTTTTTACATTCCTCTTTCCCCGCATACTTGAGTAGCTGAACTGTCACTCATTTCTCCTGTGCATGTACACTGTACATGCACATGTATGTCGCGGCTGTTCTTCCTCCTCCCTGTTCCTATTGCCCTTCCTAATAACTCCTTGCCTTTGCTGTTGATACTTCGGAGCTCCGTCACTGCTAGCAAACAACCTTTTCCTACAGCTTGTAGCAGCATGTTCTGGCGGCCGGTTGTTCATCCGATACCTGCACAAATGCGACCTGTAGTCAGTGTCGTCGCCCTATAAATCTGTCTGTTTGGCCTAGAGTTATGGGGAGTTTATGTTTGGACTTGCTCTGTGTGCTTCTTTATAAGTTGTTCTCTGTTCTTGTTTCAATATGCACTTCCTATCTCAGCTTCACTCTCATCCCATGCCTTCTGTCTGAAAAATAGAGTGAGAGTACAATGCACGTCATAATTCCTTGGCTAACTATCTAATCACTTCAAAATTTGGCACTTGAAGGTCCTAGCCCTACTTTGTCTTGTTCACATCTCTTCGGAACAGTCTCAGTCCAGTGTTCCGCGATGAGCCAATGCCAATGGAGCCAATGGGCGACTTTGCAATGCCCTCGCAGCAGGGGGATATGAGTGAGGGCCCGTACACCCCCGTGGGAGATAGGCTTGATGGTGCTCCTTGCCTTGGAATGGAAACAATGTATTACTGGTATGTAGTCGCCAGCTGATCACAAACCTGATGAGCACACAGTGAGTGATCATAGACCCGGAGTAAGACGCGGTTGTAGTTTCGTACAGAGCCATGTGTCAGCAAGACTCCAAGAGCCCCCAGCCCAGGGTTTATGTTCTCTTGAGTCTTGCTTGCTTGGTCACGAAGTAAGTAAGTTGGTCGCAGTCAGTAATGAGAGGGATCACAGTGGGCCCACTCCCTTCACTCCAGACATTGGCAGATCTACACACACACACACGGTGACAGCCTGTGGCACGATACTTGCGTAATACCCGCGCCTGGTCGGGCCTTGGCCAGTGGAGAAGGGCAGGGAGATAGATCGATAAGACTGGTAAGAGGTTGAGAGGAGTAGAACTGAACGGGGAGAATCATGATTTTCATTTCCTGCCAGGCATGGACTTGGTGGCACTCACAGTCATTGAGTCAGAACTGCCACTCCCCAGGCAGCAGTGCAAGAGGCTGCGACAGTCAAGAGTTACGATCTCCATCGTGGATTGATACATGTAAGTGCAACGAAATCGATCGAGTCCGGGATCACGCACAATTATCCATACCGAAGGTTTCGTAACTTTCCTGACCCCTTGTCTCAAAGACAACACGCACACACCCAGGTGTAAAGCCCTCAATACTACAATTGTAGAATCCACGGAAGCTGAGCAGGTCACTGGTACAGGGATTTCATCTGATCATGAACTGACTGAAGCGCAATCTTGGGCGTACAGCCTTATAATGAAAGAGCGTCTTCCAACAAGCGTTAGTACATTCTTCCGGTCGGCTCGTGATCGATCCTAGGAATAGTAATGAAGTCGGAAGGGCTCGTCACAAAGCCAGTCCGGACGAGTGCAAGATCAGCCCCAGAACTGTTTGTTGACCTACCAACACAGACTGGCAACAACCACACTTTCGGCATCTGAACCTGGGCCGCGACTTGTGCCACGTGTAGATGATATACCACTCTACTCTGGCGCTGGACTGGCACCGACCGGTCCCTTGGATTAATCGTAGATCACCCCATGCATCCTTACGCCGTTACGGCTTACAACCAAGTGCTCGACCATGGTCAAAGGGATCCTGGTCTTTGCTACTGTGATTATCACGGTCGTGGCGATCAGCAGAATGTACTTCCGCTTGCCGTCGTTTACAACAGCTGCTAGTCGGTCAACCCATGATGAAAGTCCAGCGCAGACACCAGATGACAATGGGAAGTCCGCAGCTGAGGTTCGCATGCGCAGGCAGCCTCATATCCTGTTTGTTGTCGCCGATGATTTGGGTAAGAAGAGTTTTGAAGCCATGCAATTATCGTTTACTAATTGCGAGGGACAAGTGTCACACTGCTTTTCCTCTTCTTCTTTTTTAGGTTATTCGAACACTCCATTGCGTGATAGAGATAAGTGGGGCCCTTACAGCACAGGTAGTGTTTTGAACTAACTTTTGTCTGTCGAAAACGTATGGCCTCAGCCGCTGAGAATTGAAGGTGTCAATCACGCGTCGAGTGCCATTATTATTATTATATTAAAATTTTATTGTATTATTGTGCCCCGCGGGAAGCTAGAAAAAGTCACGATGCGCTATTTCGGAATCCTGTCACCTGTACTAGACTACTGCCTAGTAGTACTGGTAAAACCAGCACAGGAATGTGTTACACTCTTGAGTCTTGACTCTTGTGTTTAGCGCATTAATTTGGTTATGTCCCCACAGTACCCTATCAATATCATCATGTTGCGGGATTACATGAAATTATAACGAGAGAGCTTGGAAGCTCAGGGCCCTACGCTATGCTTTTTTGGCTTGATGACCTAGGCAAAAAAAAAGCATACCGGTAGTAATTTTTGGAATTCTCCTATTTTTTTCAATCAACACCGTACCTGGGATTCAAACCCGCACAATCGCCCTACATGCATTACCCGATACACTTCGCATTCATACAGCATACTCATTCTTCCAAGTTGCTTCACGTTATGATCTTGCATTTGAAAGCCCTATTTGAATATTGTGGCCAGCTGTTTGTGGCCAGCTGTCTTTGATGGTACGGTACGGTACGGGACAGATACGGGATAGCGCCAGACGGAGGTCCGTCCGCCACAAACAAACACCAAATTAAAGCTGTGTGGACCCTGGCTAGCGCCAGACGTTACTGAAGTAACGTTAATGCATAATAATAATAATAATAATAATAGTTACAGTTCGCATGTCACTCATGGAAGGATCCATGGGCTTAACGCATCTGTCAACGAAATCCAGGCAGAAGAGCCGACAAAAGGCATCTCATTATTGTTAGAACGTATCGCAGTAAGAACAACTACGCAAGCGCAGCACATTTTTCCACACGCATCAGCCATTCTTTCTTGTCTAGGGCCAGTTCAAAACAGTCAGAAATATCAATATTGGCGTGCTTTAGATCATTTTTAATATGTTTCAGCATAGCTACGGGAATAATATGATCTACACGGTAATACTTGTGACTCACTTCTCAGGCTGCATTGCATGATCCTGTACTGTACTGTACTGTGTATGCAACATATAGGTTGGAATGATATTGGCTTTCGCAACGATGCGGTGCTGACGCCAAATTTGGATGCACTGGCGCGCGAAGGTGTAATCCTAAACCAGAGCTATGTGCAACCGATATGCTCTCCGTGAGTCTGTTATCTGTTATCACCATAGTGCCTGTGTTATGTTGAATACAATATTTTTCCAATGTGTGTTTACACACCGTGTATAAATATTATGTACTTGTGGTTTTGGCACGAGTATCTGCTGTGGCGGGTGGATACGGCGCTACTCCGCTATTAATTTTAGCATTTTGTTTAGCACCATCACGGGCTTGCTTTCCTTTCTCTCATCCTTTAGCAATGACATCAGAACACGATCATCTGGATCATAACTGTGTCAGTGATGTACTTGTAAATGTAAGTTGTGGAGAGCTCTCAGCGTTGTGGGTTGATCATGAAGGAGCCCGTGTTTCCTGCTGGTGTGGTTGGCTGGATTCTTGCAGAACACGGAGCTGTTTCATGACTGGGCGCTATCCTATCCACACAGGAGTCAAGGTATGGAAACTCTCAGATTCATGCACTGCAGCCCAACAGCCGAATAGAGATGCTTCGCTGTACAGCAATATTGGTTATGTACTATAGGCACATGACTGTACAATTACATGTAATTACTAAATCAGTTGCACCTCTGTCTTTTACTCAGTCTATACATGTAGTAGACCTCGATCTGTTATCTATACTGTAGTACATATTCTTACAGCCGCTAGCCCTGTAGCCGATACACTGATCACACGCTCTGTCTATTTGGAATGTCAGGCTTGTATCCGAGATACACTTCCACTTATTGTTATGCTCAGGGGATCATCATGCCTCAACAAGGCTTTGGACTCAACCCCACTCTCAATACCATAGCAAACGCCCTCAGGGAACTTGGATATGCCACACATATGGTGGGAAAGTACGTGATTCCGGACGTATTTAACCTTCAATACAAAGCGGATAAAGAGCAATGTTGTTGTTGTTGTTGTTGGATTTTATTTAAAGTCGCAACACAAACAGGCGATGGTGCCTCCTTTTATACATGTGAGCCACATGACAAATATAATAATAATTATAGTAATGGGAGGGGAGGAGGGAAAATCACAAGTGCAAGAAGTCACCGAAGGTAACTGAATATGTTACAGATAGAGCTGAGGGGAAAAAAACTATTAAAAACCGAAAATACGGAGTGAAACTGACAATGCTAAACTTTAAAATACTTGATGAATATCAGAATGCGATAATGCTAAGAAGAAGGATACACTTCACGCTCTTGAACATCTCGAAAGTTTTCACCAGTATTCACTACTACAGTCAACTTCGCTAATAACGACTGCGGATATAACGACAATTCGCGACTAACGACAGAATTTCTATGCCCAGAGCAAAGTCCCATCCAACTGTAATACACATAATGAGACTTCGGGTATAACGACACTTTGTGAATAACGACACTTTTCTTATGCCCCGCCGAGTGTCGTTATAAGCGAAGTTGACTGTATATCAGAATAATCCCGCTATCAAAAAAACCATAATGCCGATCATTGATGCGTTTGTGCAGCTATGACTTCGAGACCAGAGTTCTCAGCAAGTGTACATTATAAGTTTAAAAAGTTGATAACTATAGAATTCGTCCCCTCTGGCTACAGATGGCACCTTGGCTTCTGCAAGCAAGCCTACATTCCAACTCAGCGAGGCTTCGATACATTCTATGGCCACTATCTAGGTGCGGAGGATTACTACACACACCGGCGTACAGCTTCAGTACCAGCAGCTGGAAGGCAAGGTAACATTATTGTATATCGGTGGTGTCTTACCGATCTTATCAATTTAGTAGCTAGCCCATGAAGCAGAGTACTATGCCGCAGACTCAGAGTACATAATCGCAGCAAAGACATCCATGGCGATGACCATGACTGGGGTGCACCATGGCAATTATGGCCAGTGACTGACTGATCTGACTACGTACATGTAATATAATCGTGTGTACCATTGCTGCGTCCTGTTCTTCTCTAGGAGTGCGCAAAGTGCGTGGATATGACTTTCACCGGGACACTAGGGACAGCTTCCACAGTGAGTATGCTGCAGATGGAGTCTACTCAACGGTAAGCCGGGCCATCGTCTCAATACATGCTTTCACAGGCATGTCAAATCAGGTCCCTAGCCGTGAATGGTTCTGGATGCTGCATACATGCACAAGCGGATACCAGTGCTATTCAGCCAGTGGAGGAATGTCGTAGATCTTCGGCGGCAATTGGTTCATCCACCACATGAATAATACCTGGAGATCTGCCAGCCGCTGAATGCACTGCTCACATTCTGCTGTGGCAGAGAGTACTACGCTCAGTATAGAAACACATCAGTGACATACGACGTAACGTGACTAAAGTCGCCGAACGTGATGTAAAATATGCACGGTGGAAACCGCCTTGAACCTATACAGTACTGCCAAGCTATGCACAATGTTGTAGTAGCTACTTGAAAGTGACCTGCTGGGATAGCAACCATGTATATTTCCCTTACCAGGGGCCAAAATCCCCTGCACACGTCAACGTTCGACTATGCTTTCATTGATCATTTGCTTAGCAGCTGTTGCAAGAATTGAGGCAAGGAGAGGTTTCTGTTAGCAGACCTGAGCAAGTTGATTGCAATGTGATCACTTGTTTTTACTGATTGCAGGAGGCATTTGGTAAAGAAGTGGTTGACATTATCGACAGACATGATCCAAGCACGCCGTTGTTTCTATACCTCGCTTTCCAGGCCATCCATGGTCCCTTGCAGGTATGGTCCTCGAACTGATCCAAATATAATAACGGTGAACTCCATCACTGCCGGTCCGTGTAGGTTGGTAGAGGGGGGGAGGGGCTAATGAGGTATGAACTGTGGAGGGTTATGCTAACGAAGATGATGTCATTTTGATAATCATAATTATACAAGCTGAATAATCATAACTATGTCACACAAGCTGCTCCAATGCTCTCGCGTCAGTTTGGGTTTCATCCATTCTGCACAAGTGCATCCTCCAGTACTGTTGTATCCTAACCACCCACCCACACACACGTCTAAAATAATGGTTTTCAATGCCATCAAGGAGTCCTTGATGCAAGATTCCACTGGGGCTCCAGAGCACACTGCATTGCCGAATATCTCACCACTGCAGGGCCGGTCCAGAAGACTGCAGACTGTGCAGTGCAGCAAAGAATAGACTACCTACAGTGTACACTTTGTTTATTCTTTGTGAAGCTTGATTACTTACCGAGGCTGTGCCTTACGACCTTGGTGCCATTACTGACCTCAAATCGTGCAGGTTCCCAGGCGCTACTTGGACATGTACAAGAATTTTAAAGGCTCGTCCGACCGACGTCATGTGCTTGGTAGGTGAAACAGTTGGTCTTCTTTGATGTGTGACGTTGAAAAAAAGACAGCCAGGGGAAGGAAATTGTATGGCAGAGTGCAACAAAGTTTGTACGGTGTGAGAACCTTAGTGTACTATGGCCTTAAACCTTAGCATATTTTGTGTGGAGACCCAAAGTAACTGAGTACGAATTGACTATACAGCGTGCAATGTGTGTACAAGGTACGTGCCGTACGACCTTCAGACAGGACAGCACCTCCACAGCATGACCACGAAAGGACGAGTACGGGTGGGGCACTTACACTGTACTTTACGGTACATGTATAATGTGCATGTGAATGTCTACTCGATCTGTGGACAGAACTGTTTCGTCTATTCATGTCTATGAATGTCTATGTATGTTCGTCTCTCTACCTTGGTAACAGGCATGCTAGCGGCTATGGACGAGGCCATAGGGAACGTAACACAGGCTCTCAGACAAAACAACCTGTGGGACAACACACTGGTGGTCTTCACTACAGATGTGAGTGGGATTCTCGGAAACTTTGTTTAGGGCATTTCATATCACAACATAAGAATACCTGACAAGTCATCCAGGTACATAGTAGGGCATAGTAGGGCTACATAGCACATAACGTTAGTACATGCTATCAGCAGCGGATCCAGCAATCTCTACAGGGGGGTTCCAGTATAGTCAAAACTGAATACTAACTGATACATGGACACGCATTATGGTTGCCAGTAATACGTTTATGAAATTTAGGAGGTTCCACAGAACCCCTGGAACCCCTCCTGGATCCGCCCCTGGTTATGTATTGTAGATAAAACAATAATTATTATGTGTGTCCTGAGTACTAGAGTATCACCAGCAAAAAATGTTCAAACAAACCGTAACGCTTTACTTATCACTGATATCCCCTCACCCCACCGTAAGGTCCTGCATCTGCCGCTAGGTCATTCCAGATGTTAGCGGCCGCCGCCGTAAGTCCACTGGGAACGGAGACGAAAGATCCGCTGTCAAGCATCCTGCTTGCTGTTGTCTCTGTCCTGGTACCGGTGTTAGAGCAGAGGAGTGGGAGATGTGTCATGATTGGTGAATGGATGTCTCCAGTGCACCATTGCGTGTGAATAGCGCTGCAAGTCTTGCCCAATAATCTGGCAAATTATTTGAAAAACACCTTTTATATTTCCTCGGTACAGCTGTTTCGAAAGCACACTGTCACTGTGCCCAATCTTGTTCTCTGTGTGGATCTGCAGAATGGTGGTGAGGTCACACAGGGTGGCAATAACTGGCCGTTGCGAGGTAACAAAGGCACGGTGTGGGAGGGCGGCACACGTGGTACGGCTTTCATTCACGCTAGCTGGTTGACAACAAAGGGCAGTACATACAATGGGTGAGCCAATCCGTTAACCTGCAGTGCAGTGCTGCTCAATGAAATCCGATTGCGAGAGTCAAGTATTTGCCGGGCAGCGCTGTGCAGCCCTAGACCTGCAAACACTGGGATGTGAAGGCTGGTGCAGGGTGCAAAGCTGACCTACTCGGTCGGATTTCATTGAGCACTGAGCACTGTACTAATACCTCCTAGCACTGCCACTGCTACTGAGCAGATTATCACCTCCAAACCCGTGTCCAGGGAGAGAATGGGGAGATCCCTGTGGCTGTCGAATGACATCATCCAGAACCACTGTCCAGGGAGTAATGACATCATCCAAAACCACTGACATCCACTGTCCAGGGAGTGATGACATCATCCAGAACCACTGTCCAGGGAGTAGTGACATCTAGAGAGATGGCACATGTAACTGGACAGTAACATGATGTGGGGTTTACTCCCAAACTGCCCGTGTTCCAGTCACCCTTGGGGCAGGGCCGATTTATGCACACTCGCATACGACATCAAATACTTCCTCCGCGTCATTAAAATTGTCGCTTCGCACATCGCAATATTTGTGACTTGGCTCGTCTTCGTCAGACAGTCGGAATCGCTGTTTTCTGTGTTAGAACACTGGTGCGACCCTTCCTGCGCAATGCTTACTTGTTACTGAAGCCATGGTGGTCTCGGACTTTGTCGGAGCTCTATTCCGCACCAAGCAAATTCATCGCGCTCCGCACTATTCCGCCCCAGAGCACATTCCGTTTTCTGGAGTTCGTGCCGTCCCACATCGTTCGAGTGGGCATTTATCAAGACTGCAAGCCCGGGTATAAGAATCCTGGTATCTCTCTTGAATACGAAATGCTGAAGTTGACGATGGCAAGAACAAAGTGGTCTCAAATTCCTAAAATGCGCTACTTGTGGCGCATGTTGCTGCGAAGGTAGCAGGTCTGAAAACACCGACAAAATCAGCAAAGCGCTTGCCAAGGAAAGAAGGTGCGGAACTGCTTACCCTACCCCGCTGGAAGGTCGTTACAGTGTACTTGAAAAATGCTAGCTTGCCTTCATCCCCTGCCACCTGGAGGCATGGATCGCTTGAAAACGAAGTTTCTTGACCTGAATTTGAACGCGCGTCTTCTTCTTCTTCGTATTTTTGAGTGCTGAAGGGTCTGCCTCAAACTTTGATGAAGACGTCGACCTTAGCTGCAAGTGCAGCGAAGCGGGAGGCCACAAACTAAAGCTTGGTCCGTCGACAATACTCTGCCTCAATTTCTAGCTGATATCTTTGCCCCTCGAGTGGACATAATAAATTCGAAAAAGCGCTCTGGGAAGCGACAATTTTAATGACGCGGAGGAAGTAGTTACGTCATTGTGTGGTGGGAGAAAGCATGTTAACCATCTAGCTATCATGTTGTACAAAGCTACCTAAGAGTGAGTTAGGTTTATGCTTGCAACCAGTTATGTTCAAAATACCACCACTTTCAAGCTCTACACATTTTTTTCTCTGTGACCCAGAATTATTCATGCCGTCGACTGGTACCCAACATTGATAGCAGCTGCTGGTGGTGACAGTGGTGGCAGTGGTAACATCAAAGGTACGAACTGAAAGGCTGTTGCATGCATTTTGTTTCTTTTTAAACAAGGGAATTCTGAAAGAAGATGTAGCAACAGATCCGTTCATTACTTAAAATACAGAGATAGGAAGTAGGGGGGGGGGGGGGGGGGAGAGATCTTTGACCATGCCAACTAACTGAATTTTAGAAGACTCTGAACATGATTAACATCAAACTGAGAATGTAGCGTGCAGCACCGTACGGGCTAGTTTGAACTCGCTTAGTTTCCCTGGTTCCTGGGGGGGGGGGGGGGGGAGATCCCCTTTTGGTTCAACCAAAGGGACCCCCCCCCCCCCCAGGATTCATGGTACAACAGAATCGACATTCATCGGGGTACATTGTCAACAAGCTTCTGCAACTCTGATGTTGCTCAGACGGCATGGGCATTGATGGTCTGGACATGTGGCCGGCACTGCAAGACAATCGTACCTCGCCACGAACGGGTTTTGTGTACAACATCGACCCCGACAGCAACACTTTTGCTATCAGGTGAGAGCTATATTATGGTGACGATAGATAACAGAATGGCGGCTATGGAGCCACTCAACATGCAGTACATGTACCATTAGAATTTAAAACTGTGTCACATGACAAGAACTGGACATACCACACAAAACCCAGGAAGAATCTTTGCACTGTGTTTGGCAGGCATAAATTAAGAGGACAATCTCCATTGTGGATGTAGGCTGAGCGCTTGGTTTGCCCCAATGCATGTCTGCTGGCATTGTAACTTGTATCGTTCATTTCACTCAGGGTGGGCCGGTACAAGTACATAAAAAGCAATGCTGGTCTGAGAGGTAAGAATTGATGTCTTGTGGTGAACTTCCTTTCTAGTCCATTCCACAGGCTGTGGCCTGAAAACTGCATTGTTCATGACACTCTGAGCCAACTGCTCCCCCTCCTTCTGTGCAGCTGTGGGTCTGCATGTTGTTAGTCTCTGAAGTATCCGCCGCATTGTTTTCATCGTCATGGTGGTGGCTGGTCACATTACCAAACTGTATTTCTCCGCTGAGCCGGACCAGCCAGGTTTAGAAACATACCTACATGTAGCTCATTATACCACACCAGTATGATATGAACCGTCACAATTTGCCGCCGGTATTCTCCGGGGTGTTAGCCGCACCGGGATCTAAGCCGACCCCCCCCCCCCTTTGCCTCCCCGAAATTTGTATTTTTGGATATTCAATGTGTAAGCCGCACGTCAGACTTTGAACTTTGTTGTATCCTAACTTAGTGGGTATACAGTCAGACCTCGCTTAACCGCACATATCCGTTTTCCACAAAAATATCCGGATAGGCGAAGGAACCGGATAATCGAACACCGGGTATGTTGGATGCATCACATATGCTGTAAATCTATAACCAGCTATTTTTTTCCAGAAACGTTGCCGAGTTTGTTCTTCACTCAGAACTGACAACACGTAGAAGCTTTGTGCTAGTGCAATGAGTGACTGCAGCACATGAAAAGTACCGTAAAAGTCCGTAAATAAGTACGTATTTACTTTCGAATTTAGTGACCACACCCGTACTAACTTTCGGGCGGGTACTGACTTTCAGGCACGAACTAACTTTCGGACCTGACTTGTGTGTAGTGGAGAAGTCATTTTCATGGAGATGTACATGTTACGTGCTGCATGTGCGCACCGTACCGGTACTTATTTCGGGCAGTATGTTTATCGGGCTTGACTTGACTTTAACAGACAGAGCCAAAAGAATGAAGGGGGTATTTCTTTCGGGCAGGTACTTATTTACGGACTTTTACGGTAGTTGAATGACACCATACAGTATTGCATGCGTGCATAATATTCATGATGTACTGTAGCGCTGATTGATTCACATCCAGCATTCGGAGTCTAAGCCACAGGGGCGACTTTTGAGGCTTTATGCGTTTTTAAAGAAGTGTGGATAACACCCCGGGATATACGGTATATAGATGTATGTGCATGTTCTCTCTTGATGTTCTGTGACCTATCCGCAACTAGACAACTGGTACCCGGCTGCTGCTGATGGTGACTCACAGAGATGGCTACTGTTTGCACTCCGTCAATCTGAGAGCAGCGTGAAGACACTGGCCGCTGGTCCGTGGCTCTTCAATGTTGATAGTAAGCTGCTTCTATGCAGTCATCACACCAAATGTTTCTCACTTCTATAATTATGACTGTGCTCTTCAAGTCTTGGTCAGCTCCCCCCCCCCCCCCCCAGCTCGATGGGCACATACTCATTTACTTGAGTAATTTATCAGCCTTTTAAAGAGAAGGTGCACATTTGGGGACTATGGAAGGGAACTGAAAGTTCCCTTTACAGTTTCAGGACCATTGCAGTTTAGTCGCTCATTGAGAAACCAAACTGAAACTTGAGTTACTGGCTGTATCTGGCAAGAGGAAAACCACTGCTGGTCAAATCACAACTCTTTGAAAGTCGCTGGTGAAGCCACTCTCCATGCCAAGTAGCTAAGCAACAGTGAGCAGATCATGCTGGCCCAATATCTCCCAAGGAAACCCTATCAGGCGGGAAACTGTACTTTGCTACCATTTTAAAGTGTGAGTACGGTGTACACCCGAACTGGGTAATTTCGAGTAGTTGCCTTTGTCAGGTTTCCCGGCACTCACTGGGGAGTGACTGTGTGTGCGTGTGTGTGTGCGCACGTGTGTGTGTGTGTGTGGTTTATGTTTGTAGATGACCCATTGGAGAAGAACAATCTGCATGATAGCATGCCGGAGCAGGTTCAGCTGATGGAACGCGAGCTGGCCGGCTACATGGAGTCCTACACTGCGCCGCCACGGTGCGCGCATACTCTTGACCCTGGCTGCGACCCAGGCCTGCGCGACGGCACTTGGTCCCCGGGATGGTGTTGATGGCGGCACTGGGTCTCCGAGATGGTGTTGATGGCGGCACGTGGTCTCCATGCAGGGCGATGTCACAGAGTCCTGGCTCAACCCAGTCTGCAGATAACATTTTTAACGTAATTATGCTCAAATGGCCAACCATACTGGAAAATTACACGCAGAGTGCCATGGTATTCTAGAAAACCAATAGGTCTCAGTCATGTGCGGCTTCATAAAATCGTATTTATTATATTTGTCACAATTTGTGATATATGCATTAAATCTTGTGTTTATTTGAGTGCAGAGAACCACCAGAATAGACGCCGATTGAATCAGATGCAAGAAGAGAGTCAGAGGAAGTGGGATTACGAGGACACCTGGAACTCATGCCAGATGATAGCTGGAATCATTTGTGCGCAGAGAGCACTTAAACTTTGTAGCTGCCAGCTGCTGGAATCATGCGAATATCATCATTATGACTTGTGGCACAAAGCACCTAGGTTGCATTGGATTTTGTTTGCCAATGGTCCCGCTGGACCGCCTATCTACCGATTGATTCTCCGAGTCTGCCTTCCATGTTTGGAGGCGGTAAGCAGAAGGCTGTGTTTAGGTACAGTATAGAGAAACGGTATGAGAAATAACAGGAATAAAGCTAAGGGTATGCCTATAGGAATAAAGCTAAGGGTATGCCTATTCTACATGCATATCCACCTAGGGTTGAGGGCCTCTACCGTTCATTGCTCACTTGGACATTGACCCACCTCCGAGTTGAACCATGGCGGCTTGGGGAGAGCGCCTCAGCCAGTGTGGCCAGTGGTTCTTCAAGTTGTGTTAACACTCATCCTCTTACCCTTCCAGAATGAGAATCACGGATGAGCCAAGGCTACATGGCTGCACCTGGTAGTGCACCATGATTTGAATACCTGACATTACCAATAGTTGTGCTTGTGTCTTTGAAACCGAGTGCAACACCAGTTAGTTCGTCATTTGGACTTGAGCAAGGCACTACCCGAAACACAATTAAATTTTGCCTTCCGCAAGAAATGTTCTACGGAAGACGCCCTCTGTGTGCTGACGGATGATCTGCAGAAGGCCAGAGACAGTGGCAAGATCACAGGGCTGTGCCTATTTATTTTTATTTTTTTACAAAATACACAACTCACCGGCAGGCACATGGGGCATTGGGGCTAGCATGGGGTGAGATGGTGCTGGTGGGGCTTGCCATGCTCAACCGACCAGAGGTCTCGGCATCTTCACATGACAGGCGCACCAAATTCGGGAGGGAAGCATAAGCATGAGGGGAAAAAAGCACGGGAGAAAATGGAAGATTTAGAACGAAGGAGAGAATCTAATTTTGGAGCACAGCAGAAAATAGCAAATGATCAAACAGATAATAGGAGTGAAAGGAGAGTGTCAAATGAAGGGTGCAATGGGGTAGCAGTGGAGATTGGCTACTCAGGATTGGCGACAATTAGGCTTGAGGTGGGAGAAGCAGGAGCATAATCCCGGAGGAGGCTAGAGGCGGTCGGTTGCCCAGTCCCAGTCAGACTGCCTCAGGAGGTCATAGACCTTCTTCTTGAAGGTCTGCATCGACTTCTGGGAGGGGCGAGAACTGAGGATAGAGGCTGGGAGGCAATTCCAGGTGTCAATCATACAGTGGGGGAAGGACCGAAGGACATTGTTCCGAGACTGAGGTGGGACAGTCTTGGTCAGCTGGAACGGATGGTGGCTCGCAATTGTGCGCACGCTGGCTCGGGTGCGGGCTGGGGCTGGAGCTGGCGGGGGTATGAGGGCTGTGATCATGGCAGGGCCAGTCAGATAGTGGAGCTTGAACAGGTAGCAGAGAGCAGCAACAGAGCGACGGATGTCCAGGCTGGGCAGGTAGCAGCCAGGCATCACCACTGTTATACACACGAGATTTCCCTTTGGTGTCCTCGCCTGTGCCAAGTGTACATTTTGCAGATGATATAGCCCTGTACGACTCCCAGGCCTCAGCGGCGGAAGCGTCCAGAACCTTCACCACAGCGGCAACTGCTCTGGCCGATTGGCTGAAGTCTCCAGACCTCATCTTGAACGCCGCCAAGAGCAAGGTTCTGACTATCTCTCCCCAGCAGCATGTACAGGAAGTAACAGTCAAAAGCGGCGACTGTCTCCTCCCTTCAGCGTCTTCTGCGCGCTACCTCGGCGTTCACCTTGACTGGGACACCCATGTAAACTATGTGGTCACCAAGGTTGCCAAGAAAATTGGCGCCCTGTGGCGCGCACGCCGAAGCCTATCAAGACGCTCTCATCAGGTGTATGTGAAGGCGGTCATAATGCCCGACCTGCTTTATGACTCCTGCTGCTTTTCAGCCGCATTGCGAGAGGGTCAACTAAAACGACTGCAAACCACACAAAACAGAGCCATTCTCTGCATCGATGGCAACCCGCTCCGGACAGCCATGCAGTCGCTGCTCACTCCGAATCCCTGTACCAGTGTCACTGTCAGCGAGTTGAAAAGGTGCATCCACGCCCGCACCAGCCTCGTGCTCGCCCAGCTTCTGACCCCGGCACAAGGCACCCCTACCCCCCCCCCCCCCCATCACTCAGCGGTCAAATGGCCTATGAAGCCAGGCAAACCGTAGTCGCTGCGGTCAGCGGAGATTTTCTGTTGATGGTGCTCTGTGCAACTGTGGAACGCATGTGTACCATACGCCTGTAGTGTAGGGAGTACTGTAGTTCGAGTTACTGCTGATCGCTCTGCTCTCTCTCTCCGGGCCGTGCAGTTCAGTCCTCACGTACTGTCGTGGACATGGAAATCCGGTCGATTGATCGGGGCCGGCGCCCTCAGCGCGTACAGAACGCTGCCGTGCAGGGCACATGTTGATCCGATGCGACCAGCTCGCTGCAGCGCATAAAATGCATGTGTGTACCGCTTATCCACGGCTACATGGCCAGCACCCTGGGGCCGCTAGACGTGCGACCGGATTTCCATGTCCACAACAGTAGTATCACAGATACATCGTATTCTCCCCCCCCCCCCCCCCCCCCGTTTACTCGCAATTATTAGTATCCTATTCTCTTACTATGTGCTTCCATAGCCTTTACTATGTTCTTCCATAGCCACTTCTAGGCTAAGCCTTCGCCATCATTTTATTGGGTCGTCATCCCGTTTGAATGTGCGAAGTAAAATAAAAGCCAACCAACCAACCAACCATTCCGTCAGTTTGACGATAGAGTGTGATCATGATTCATGACTCGTTGAATGATTGAAATTTTAAAATTATTTGAATGTTCCTGAGACTGCGGACCGCGCATGGGGTCCCTCAAAAGACCGTCCGTGGCGTGGGGTCCATCTAAACTAAAGTCGTAAAGACAGCTAGCCACTACTAGTACTACTAGTGTAAGTAAGTTAGTGCACCATTCACACAAGCGATGGACGAAAAATGTCCCATGATTCCGTGATGTAAGCTCGTTGGGTCAAGCACTACAAAAGACTTATAAGTACTAGCACTTACAACTTACAAGCGCTCAAGAGCCTTTGTCTGCACCGTGCACGGACCCGTGAAGGGCGAAATATGGCCTACAGTCAGTGCAGTAGCAGCTTGTAACGCCTGTGGCTGGCAATTGGCATCATCCGCCATGTAAATGTGTGAAGCAAAAATACCTGTACTGTACATGTAACAATAATCACCCATATTATACTGGCATGGTCGGCACCCAACCTTCATGTTGCCTGATGATTGCGAGAGCATGAAACTTCAAGTCGCAGCAAACAAGCCTTGATTGTCCTTGCTGTCCTGTTCTGTAAACAATAATAATAAAAATGCGTGCAGCTTCGTGCTTCGTGCTTCGTGGGGCTTCCAAGTACAGTGAAACCTCTTTTAGGACGAACACCAAGGGACCGATGGTATTTGTTCGTAATAACGGGAGTTCTTCTTATCCATATTAATTGTAATACCCAGTGAATACACAGTGATTTATCCAACAGAGCTATGAACACTAGTTCTTCTAAAGCGAAAGTTTGTCTTATCAGTGTTCTTCTTAACGAGGTTTCACTGTAATATTATACTAATAATAATAATAATCATTATCACTCCCTTAGTATTGACTCACATAGATTTTTGCCATACCTAAGCAGTCAAATATTCCTGCATATTTCACTCCTTAGGGCTATATTGACCGCTTATATTTTACTCCTTTTTAGCGATTGAACACAGGCTTTGGCTAGTCGTGATAAATCTAATATTGACTTCGTACTTGGTCAGTATAGGAAATAAAAGACCTCGTAAAAGACCTCGGCTTCGCCTCGGTCTTTTACTCGGCTTTTATTTCCTATATTGACCTCGTACTCAGTCAATATTAGATACAGTCATAATTATTACTTCTTAGTTCCCGTCTTCACACCCGTACCCAGTCACTGACTGTCTGACGCCAAGATCCGTTCATAGAATCCTGACCAGTCCAGATAACCCCGGTATGTACTCTTGCTGACACCTGGAGATCTACTCGACGCAAATGTCTCCACCTGCCGCTGCCGCTGTTGTATCCGGTCTGCATCCACATATACGTACATGGCCACAGTGAGCTGCATCCGGGGATATCCGTGGAGGGAGGAGGGGGGAGGAAGCTGATAGTGATGACATGTATCTATGTGTGTTACTCAGCCCCACACAAGTACAAAGTCAGTTAGACTAGTACAGTGGCATATGCAAGCACGCGTAACACATCCACAACATTCGTCAACGAACAAAAATAACGTCAAAAAGAACAGGACTGACCAGACATGTTGTATGCACATTCTATTTTATTAATTTTTATACTTTGGATGAAGTTTTCCAATAGTCATATTGGTGTTGTTGCTAACGGCTTTTGTTGACGTCACTTCTGTCATTTCATTGTATCGTATTACTCTTCAGACATCAATCCTGAATGGCATAAGCGAAAGTGGCACCCCCGCCACCTACGCGGACATGCTTTTAATAATAATAATAATAATAATAATAATAATAATAATAATAATAATAATAATAATAATAAAAAGAACGGTATCGACTATCGATTCGTGATGAAATCATACTGATTCATAGCCTGACTGGCCTGTGATCGTTGAGATCAACGCGTTCGTGCTGTTATTGGGCCCTTTTTTCACGGACTTCACAATTTTTACAAGTCAACAGCGAATGCGTGTGGTGCGCCGGTTCGGTGTGTAGACTTTACCTCAGCACGCCGTACCACGAGGGCGTGTACTTGTTTGCTGCGGCGGCTCCGCGATCCGCGAAGGGCCCAGAGAAAAGCCAGCACCCCACTGGTCCCTAGTGGTTGTGTTCATCAGAATTAGAAGCCTGGGGATCTGCCAGTGGTTATCCACTCGGGTCGTGACACTCATAGCTTTCAAGTTGACGCAGTCATGGCTTGGTTTCTGCAGCTGACAACAATCCTTCCTTGGTGGAAATGGCCTACATTCGTACTTTCCGTCTGCTACCTGTTGCTTCAACGAAAAGAGCTATTTGAAAACAATTTGCATACTCGTTATGATACTGAGGAGAAGATTCCCATCTGCTCGTCGCACGCTCAAGCTAGCAGCAATGGCGGGGAGTGCATTGGCGATCCTGCGCATACACTGAGCCAGTCCTCCTCCGAATCCCCAGAACTGAACTGCACGCCGACCGATTCGTGGCCCGGATCACGAGCCAGGACTCCGGATGGAACGTGTAACGATCTGAAGAATCCGGAGGCGGGAGCGCGCTTCTATCGCTTCCTACGCAATGTGCCGCCGTCGGAGACCTTCACTGCGCCGCGCAAGTTCGACATCTACGATCCAAACCCGAGAACGGTGGCTCGCAAGCTGCTACAGCGAACTAAATTCCAGCCTGCGCCCATTCTGAATAGCTTAGCAGTGGCGTGGATACAGTTCAACGTGCACGATTGGCTACATCATGGCGAGAACGAGGAAGACACACACCTTATCGAGCTGGAAGCGGATGATCCCCTGCGGGATGGAAGCAACGATGGCAAATTCCCAATCCGGCGCACGAGGTTGGACCGGACTCGCAAGGGACCCCTTCCGGATGGCGTGGATACTTTCACCAACAACTGCACGCACTGGTGGGATGCATCAACACTCTATGGTAGCACGCAAGGTGTCGAAGACCGTGTTCGGTACGTCTGTCCGGGTTCATAGCCCCGCGCCGGGCGGGGGGGGGGGGGGTACCCAAATACAAGCTCTTTCAGTTTATGTACGGGGTATTGCCCTTGCACAAGGTCAAGGGTAGTACAAGCCGATGTCTGCACGACCGGCACACAGGCAGAAAGCTTCTTGTGTCCAGCATGATTCCTGCAAAACCCTTTTCTCTGGTCACCCACCATTCTCCCTCTGGTAGACTTGGCAGCCGGACCCCGGATACAACCCGGCTATTACAGTAGAGATTAGAAGTGAATGCGTGCGCCCAGATAGTCGCACATGCATGAGCCAGGGTCAGAGACAAGAACGGTGCATTTTGTAGTTGCGATGCGAACATGCTCAACGAAAATCGCTTGCTGTAAGTTTGTGATGAAAATTTTCTGGAAGCGAAACCGTTCACATGTGGCGGAACATGGCGCCTTTCTTTGTTTTTCACTAAAATTAAGAAAATTGGATCTACAGAAACAGGGGCTGTCCCTCCATTTACTAGTACATGTACAGTGAAACATGTCTAAGACGACCGCTCAAGGGACCTTCAAAACGTGGTCTCTGTTACCAGGTGGTCTCCTTATCCAGGGTCATTTGACTGGAAATAGCATCCCTTGGCCCTGATTTCAGTGGTCATTTAGGACAGGTGGTTGCCTTGACAGGGTTTACTGTACTCCTATACATGCAGTAGCTCAGTAGCATCATACCACAGGACAGGAAAGACAAGCAGCTGGGTAGGGGCAAGATTCTATTGACATAATAATAATAATGACAGTTCGCATTTCACTCATTGCATGAGGTCAACGCATCTGTTAACAATTTCGAGCCAAGCAGCTCTATCAGAAGCAGATTGCACAGCATCCAGAAGCGACATAAATTGACATAAATGATTCAAATTTGTGATCGGTATGAAAGCCAACTCATTCATGCTCCAACTGCGCCCAAGTGTGTGTTGTCCTCGCTTGGGAAGGACCATTTGGCATTTGCCGGTTTTGTTGATCAACCCCTACAGTACAAACGCCATTTACGCCAAGCAAGGATAAAGTGACTGGATGTGGACTGGCATCGCACAGCACCTTGGAGAGATCTGAGATCATCTCTCATTCACTCCACCACATAATCACACTAGGGAAGGGATTGAAGTGACGGCACGCTCTGGTTCTGGTAGCGTACAGTGTGACGTAAAGTCGCGTGCGTTGTTCCAGGCTGACTAGAGCCGGCAGCCTAGAATTTAGTGTAACAAGATTGTACGGTGTCAGTGCGTAAGGGTGGTGTGCATGGTTGCCAAGGCAACTAAATGTACTAATTGTAGTATAATGTTCATAAGTTTGAGGGGAAACTGTAAGCGGGGAAAGTCTGAAGAAAAATGGACTGTCACCACCAGAACTAGAGCCAGGGAGTAGTATAACTAGTTTTATAGAATAGGCGTGATTGTGCCTTTGATTCTGTCCTGCAACTAGGTCCTTCAAAGATGGCAAACTTAAGCTGGACAGTGATGGCAACTTACCAGTGGCGGACGATGGCATTGAGGTGAGTGAATTGACTAGTAAGTACTTCTTCCCATGTTCAACAAAACCTGCGCTTACACACAGGTGCGCTTTGAGACAGAATTCTACAGGATGCCAGTTTTACCACGAATGTTATTCCATTTGAAGAGGTATTTGTGGATGTGTGTTCGGCTATTTCTGTTGTACATTGCAGATCACAGGCTTCAATGACAACTGGTGGACGGGACTTAGCATCATGCACACATTGTTTACACGGGAGCACAACGCTATTTGTGACATGCTGAAGGAGAACTACCCCACCATGACTGACCAGCGACTGTTCGAGACTGCTCGTCTTATCACCGCCGCCGTCATTGCCAAGATCCATACAGTGGAATGGACGACAGCCCTCCTCAGTCACACCGCACTCTTGGTAGGGGGATTGCAGAGAGTAGCGTTTAACTAGGTGAAGTCTGCTCACAAGATGTGAGGCAATGTTTGGAATACTTCCAAACATTTAACGGTGTTCAACTATTCACAGCATAGCCGAACCAAGTTAAGGAATGAGGTGAAAATCTCGGGTTGACCACTTTCAACAGGCCGCAGGTTTAGTGCACAGCATTGTTCTCCAATTGTTGTGCAATTGAGCCCTGAGTCTGTGCTGCTTGGTTTGACGTCAAATCCCTGTGCTGTGCATAGGGATACATGTTCTCAATGTTGAAGGCACCACTGTAGCTTCACCAGTGACATGGCTCTCAGCTTGGGCCCCTATGTTGCCGTGAAACAAGGTCGGAACAAAAAGAAGTGATCAGAGTTTTAACTTTATATTTGAATGTTTTGCTAGAGTTTCAGCATGCTGCACCAAAGTCATGGAACACCTGACATGTATTGCATTTCAGCCGTTCTTAGCTCATTCCCGGCAGTTAGCCCCAATAAAGGCTTCCATCTACTTGATACCCACAGTTAACCAGGCGTTTTGATCTCTAATACTTGCATTTGTCAACGTTGCGGCTCAGACTTTGTCTTCCTCTCCATGTATGTTGTGTGTAGTTTGGCATGAATGCTAACTGGGCAGGAGCGCTCGGTCCAAACATCAAGAAGATCTTTGGGCACACCGGTAGCTCTATTCTAAATGGCTACTTGGGGATGCCAAAGGCCCAGAACAGTGACGTGCCCCATGCTCTCAGCGAGGAGTTCACTGCCATCTATCGCATGCACTCCTTGCTACGAGACGAATATGTTGTTCACCGTGTACAAGATCAGGGCAAGCCGAGTGACAAAGCTATCCCACTCGTCGATTTGACATTTGAAAGGTAAAGTATTATAGTATTATTAAAAGGCCGAACTGAATAATTATTGTCTTTGTTTCGGGTAACATGACCAGAATTTCTGCGGTCGGTCGGCTTTATTTTTTATTTCCAGATGTACTTTATGCATACTGGTGGTGTCAAAAACATCCGCTAACCACAGCCAACCAGTGGAAAAGAAAGTGATGTTGTAGCTCTTCCCGGCTTCACGCAAGTAAACACCGCGTGCACATAAAAAGGTTTCAGCTGCGTTGGTGCTCAAAAACACGGTCGGTCGGGTTACCTGAAACAAAAGACTTTTTCGGTTTGGCCTAATATGTATAGTTTGGGGGCTGTGCTCGCTGACACCCGGGCAAGAAGGATAACAATCTCCAGAGTGTGACGCTCACGGGAACAGAAACCAGAGACTACACAATCGAAAATGCTACAGTACTGTACTGGCCAGTGAAAGCCGACCATTTACTCCAGAACTGCACGGAGAGCTGGATGGTGGACGCGTGAACTAAGCTGGGTTGCACCGCTTCAAGGTGCCAGGGGTTGCTTGGCAGTTGGGGTGCAAAAAGTGCTCCGGAGCCAGAGATCAAACTTTATTGGACAGCACTCTAGTTGGTCAGGAGTGCGATTAGCTTGGACAGGGGGTGATCTGCTGTGAGCAGCCTTCTAGGCTCGTAGTGTACTGTAGTCACAGTGTCTTGTATTTTAAGCCTGTCTCGTATAGAAGCCTGATTTTCAAGTTTCACTGCCGGCACATAAGCCTGGTTTTAGTGTTGACATACATAGAAATACCTGGTTTTAGTGTTGACATACATAGAAATACCTGGTTTTAGTGTTGACATACATAGAAATACCTGGCTAGGCTTGAATACAAACCTGATATGAATAGAAGCCTAGCCCTGACATCGGTTTCTACAGGAATACGTCCGGCTTTAATCGGCGACATTACAGTATGCCATAATTCCCCGGCACACTGCCCCGTAGTTTACACGCAAATTAATCTGTGTACCTCTGTTCTGCTTTCTGGGCTACTTGGAGCCTGTCCAATTCTGCTGGCTATGTATCGCTTGTACCTATTCAGTGTTGCTAAAAGACTAAAGTACTGTTGATCCCCCTAGTTCCGCCTGCTGTCGATTTTCTACCTGTGAAGCGACTATAGCCTACTAGTATACGGCAAAGTATGCTGTATATACTGGCGCATTCATTACTGTACATAGTGCGTGCCAGTACAGGTACTCTTGTGCCGGGGTGGAACTGTACACAGGGAGTCCAGCTCGGCAAGTCTGACCTTCCAGTTATTGTACATTGCACTACCCTTGGCAACCTTGATCTAATGTCATCCCTGCTGTAAGCCCAACTGGGAAGCAGCATTGATGTTCGGCGGGGGGGGGGGGGGGGGGGGGGGGCAATGGTACTACAGTCAACTGTATTAATAGTGAACCACGATTGGGAACAAGAAAGGCGTTACTCATGAGTTGTCGTACTCTGTGCGGTTGAAAGTATGCAATCCTATGGTTACTAGGTCTGAAAATCGTGTCGTTATTCACGAATTGTTGTTCTATCCGAGGTTGTTATTCGCGAGGTTGACCGTTACTCTGTATACAGTAGTCAGTGCCAGGTTAGGAGGTGGATAAACCACACTTCGGCCGAGAAGAATGTCATGTTGCAGCTGTGCAGTGTACAGTTGATGTATTGATTGGAGAGTTTGGGCACGTTATTATTATTATAAAGAACTTCAGCTAAAGAACTACCAGTATTGCTACGCACACTGGGATGTGCTGTATGCAAACAATGCTTTCTTCTTTCCTTATGAGACGTGGGTGACTGGAATCGTTTATTTTAACCACTGTTTTGATAGGCACTTGAATGTACGTGGCAACTACAGCCAAGCGGACATGCTACTAACGTTTGGCTCATCGTACCTTGGAGCACTGACTCTGCACAACTATCCCACCGTCCTCATGGACCTCACCAAGCCAAACAAGAACCGCATTGACCTGGCGACCATCGACATCTTGCGTGATCGTGAGAGGCAAGTGCCTCGCTACAATCACTATCGGCGCACCATGCACCTGGTGCCGAAGAAAGACATCGATGACTTGACACCAGATCCGGTATGTCACTGTGTACCAATTAATGAAAGCAAATACCATGTGAGCCATGTTGCGGTAATTTTGCGTGTCCTGCGTGGGAGCGCACTGCTTTGTGAATGTTCGCCACTAACATGTCCATCATGGCGTGCAATGCTTCTGTCCTGGTGTATTTGCCGCTTATGCGAACAGGAGACTCGCAAGTTGTTGAAGGAAGTCTATGACAATGACATCGAGAAGGTTGACCTCTTGATTGGCGGCCTTGCCGAGCCTTTCCCTGACAACTTTGCCTTCAGTGACACAATCTTCCAGGCATTCATACCAATGGCCAGCCGCCGACTTGCCACTGACAGGTAAGCCATATTTTGGTGCCTCATGTTTGTTATGACTGCTTCAGATTGATATGTGCTATGTGCACAAATGACGGCGCTGGGTGCAATAACCGTGTAGGTAATGCCATTATCGTGGTGGCAACGCGTTTGCAGAGTAGGTACCTAAATTCAATGATGTGGTACTGCATGTACGTATAATTATTGTTAGTGGAGGCTGGAGCAACATGTCAGGCATGGCAAAACAACTGCTGATGCTGCCATAGTCACAAGAACTCAGGCCGCCACCTGGCAGTGATTTAGTTGTCCTGGGTGATTCACAACGCTCTGGGTCGTAGAAATGGGATGATTTTCTGCTGAACAGGTATCCATTGTTCGATTGTCATGAATGGTTGATTGTTCCTTTTTTTTATTGGCTCAACATCAGTGTTCCGTCACTTCCTTGTTATTTAGATTTTACACCGAAGACTTCACAGCTGAATATTACACACCTGAGGGCTTGGAGTGGGTTGAACGCTCTGACCTGCGGAATGTCATCCTGCGGCACCATCCCGAGCTGAAGCCAGCGCTTGATACCGTGCCCCGCGACAATGCGTTTGCACCATGGAGCTGGGCCGGGGCACCGGGCACGAGCTGCAAAGTCGACGAGGACTGCGACTCCGGTGACTGCGCTTGGACCAGCTGGACTGCCATGACATGTGCCTGATTGGTGCTTACATCATCACGACATCACCATTGTGTCATTGCAAAGTAGAGTTAGTCCGCTGTCAATTATAGTGTCCTTGTTCAGTTGATGTAACAAACAGTTGCTGCGTATTGATGCATGCACATCTGCTACTTCAAAAATAAGAAATAGACGTGTTTATCACATGTCACATGACTGTTTCCTTGGATTGGGCCAATCACTGATCTGTATGAGCAGGCAATAAATCAGTCCAACGCCTGCGTCCAAAGCCCGTCGTCTGTGACAACCCTGACAGTGACACTGGACGCATGAAATCTACAGGATTTGAACAGGTGACTGTGTACAGTACAGTGTACGTGGACGCGTGTTCGAAAGTGGCGATTTCAGCTTTTCTTTTACTTTCTTTCCGGCTTTCAAGTGTTGCTGCACACGAGGTCGACTTCCTCCTTTAGTTTTGATTCTTTCAGGTTAGTGTATTCAGCAATGTTAGGCTGAAAGTGATAAATCCATTATGGCATGGTTGGTCGGGCAATAATGGATTTCCAGTGCCCTCCAAGTGAGCCCTCGGGCTCACTTGTCGGGCACTGAAAATCCATTATTGCCCGACCAACCATGCCATAATACAGAATGCGCTTGCAAAGAACTATCATGAATTGTGGTGTTTGGTTAGGCTCTCGAAAAATCAATGCTGATGGGGTGCAGTCATCGGAGATTGCAGATCTACCCTTGAAATGTGCTGCTTCTAACCTAGCTATAGATTTGCTGTTGCTGAACTGCTGGTGCTAATATGCATGTCCATTGTTAGGTTTTGGCTGAACACTGCCATTGACGATTTTGATTCTGGGCCACGTGTTGATGCTTCCTGTGCCACCTTGGTAGTGCTCTCTGGTACCGTGTTGTAGTGCGCGTGTGTGTGTGTGTGTGTGTGTGTGTGTGTGTGTGCATGTTCTGGCAGTAGACAGTATGTTTGCACATCATCCTGCCTTAGCAAAGTACTGGCGCAGTGCAAACAGCATTACTACAGTACTGTCCGTCGCCGAAGAACTGGGGGGTCAGCCTCCTAGCCTAGACCGTTCTTATTTTCATGTTTTACAGTCGATGGGCAGTTGAGTCCTCGTGTATACATTGGTATCAAGAGTTCATAACCCCCCCAAAATGGGGGTTATGAACTCTTGTTGGTGTGCTGTGCTTGATGAAATTCTAGCCTGGTCGTTCTTCGGCGCTACCCGACAGTACTGTACTTCACGATGCAGTACAGCCATGATACTAATCTCAGTCTGGCTACAGAATGATCCAATGAAAATTGCATTCCAGGATTCCCCCCCCCTCTCTCTCTCTCTCTCTCTCTCTCTCTCTCTCTCTCTCTCTCTCTCTCTCTCTCTCTCTCTCTCTCTCTCTCTCTCTCTCTCTCTCTCTCTCTCTCTCTCTCTCTCTCTCTCTCATGCCTACCTCCTCCCGCTGCAAAAGCCACAAAAGTATACAAGTCATACATGTAGGTACATAGTGACCTTGGGACCACTTGGCATGCTGCGATGGTGGGGCATGTTTTCGTGAGACCCTGGATGTGCCAAAGCACTTTCCACACGCTCATACGCATACCGATATACTCACACCTGCAAAACTGTACTCAACAAGAAGCAAATGATGGCACTAGCAATACTGGTGATTATGGGAAAAGTCTTGCTCAAAACTTCATCAGGCAACTCGTGGCTTAAAACCAACCAGGGAGTACTCCCGGATACCAACCCAAACACTGGTGCGATGCTGGTTATTTCTAAAGAGTCATAAATTAATACCAAACACTTCAGTCAAGGCCGACATTTAAAAAGAAAAAAAGGTACATAATAATATTATTCATTCAAATGGCGGGTATACACAATTAGTAGCGAGAGTAAGACAAACATGGATGCAAACGGCTGAAATTAGAGTAAGCAGAATAAAGGCAATACGAAGCAAGCGAAGGCCAGTCAGACCTGGAGATGGCCTTCGCACTGCTGAAGTGTGTTGCATGAGGACTTGGGTGGACGTTTCATGACCTAGCGTGCTAGTTTTGTGGCGCTGTGTACACAGCAGTGGTAGCAATCGTGCAGGCTGGAGTATGGAGATTGAGATGGGCTGCTATAATACCAGAGAAGTTTTCTATTTAGAGGAATCAAGGTGTGCCTAGGCACGCCGACGAGCGCCGTGGACTACGTCATGAACACGACAAACACGATGAAAAAGACGAGCACAACCATGAAGATCTTGACCATGAGCCATCGGTTGGACGAGATGCCCTTGAAGTATTTGAGCAGCTCCCCGTATCCAGCCTCTACGTTCATGACAGTTTCATCCACATTCTGATCGATTCTAGAATGGTACACACAACGCAAACACATTGAGACCAGGTCAGGCCCAATACCAACAACTGGCTACAAAACAATGTCAGCCATACATCAACAAGGAGATTTCAAGAACACATAACTGTTAACAACATGCCTTCCCACCATGACCCTTCAATTCCCCAAACAAGGCGCACAGCAGTACACGCACAGAAGCACATACCTCATAACCTGCTCCTCCTGCTCCTGGACCATGTTTGCCAGCTGACTGAAGATCGAGCCGAGCTCGACAATGGTGGATTCGATCGACGCCACCGCATCAGCCCGCTGCTCGGCATAGCTTGTCTGTAACAAGACAGAAACAGCAGCAATGCCCTTCAGCACGAAGGTTCTAAAGTGACAAAAAACACAACCAGAGCAAAGGTATACTTACAGACTGGTCCGGTGACGCCATCAGCTGGTCCTGGAAACCCTCCATGTTCAACTCAACGTGGCCAGCACCACCAGAGCCATCTCGACGTGCAGCTGCCGACGTTGTCCGCAGCAGTGCAGATCCACCACCACCTACACAACATTCGTACACATCATTTGCATTGTACTTCAATTTACAAGTATGCTACTAGTATTGTGAAATATGTGGGGGGAGGGGGTCCCATGGAAGCGGAAAGGTGGTTCTGGACCCATCCTGTACGCAAACCCGTGCAATTTTTTTATTGTATTAAAAAGTCAAATAAAGGACTTTCCAGCCATGCAGGATGATTGGAAATAAAAATAATATTGGGTTGGCAAGGTAAGACTACTAGTATCATATCCAGAATACCCAACAGGATACGGGGTAATGACGTAGATTATCCGCAGGATTCGAGGATATGACATCATAATCAGCAGGATTAAAAGAAATGACATCATAATCAGCAGTTCTATGGCATACATGGCAGCAGAGTGCAAACACACTGGCAGTGGCGCCTTACCGTCACGACCGGACAGCGCAAACGGCAGGGTACGCGGGGTCAGGTCTTGCGAATACTGGTCACGCTTTTTCTGCTGCTGCTTCATGTTCTGCGGATACAGTGGCAGCAGAATAAAGCCGGCAGACGAAGCCAAGGTGAACACCAATAGGTGCAGTAGCATCCAACACAATTCACATGTTTACAAAGATTGAGCAAACCGAAGCTCTGGGTAAACCCAATACTGCTTGCCGAAAACATTGATTTTCACACTTGCCGCATGGCATGCAAAGAGCCAGTTGCGACGGGCTCTCATACATGAAGGTATATCCTGCATGAGCCAGATTGAAAGAAGTACAATGTACAAGTTCAATATACTGGCTCCAGGGCAGTGACTCTAGCGACCTACCTCAGTTCGCACTTCCAGCACACTTTTGAAATCTTTCGACATGCCGGCCAGTCGTGACTAGAGACAAAGAATACACGCAGACAATGAGAAGATGAGACGAAGTATGCATGCATTCATCCAGTGATGAAGTTGTCAGGTGCAAGACAATTGGCACTATGCCACAATGTAAGGTAATAGAAATCCAAACCTGCGATGGAGATTGCTAACCTGTTTTAGCACTAAGGCCACACCAAGTTAATTCTATGTTTCGCGTCGGATATTTTCTGGAAAAGGCACGCGGGCGGGCGGAAAAAAACAAAAACAGAAGAAAAAACAAAACTCCATTCTATGTGTACTGAGCCATGTTGCACACAGAATATCACTACTAAACTGTCAGTTCTATCCAAAACGACAACAAATCGTCACAGGACAGCTGGCAGACTGGGCTGGAGCGATACAGAGATTTCATGGATGGCTCCTCCTGCATTTTGATATGAGTCGAGTGGGATCCCGCTCCATCACAATCGTGGAAAATTTCGAAGTCCTTGACACCTGGAATCTCTGCTCGCTTGGTGAGCAAGCCCTAGGCCTACCGCACGGCTTGGAAAAATAGAAATTTTCATCTCTCGCACCTTCTACGTACCATCGCCTGGAATGCAAGATTATCGAGAAGCTGATAACCTCTGATCTGCCATACTGGCTAGAGAATGTTCGTCAGAACAGCCATCAATTGGCTCGTCTATATTGTAGGTTCTTTTTTCTTGTCAAGGATTCAAAAAGGTACGCGGGCGGGTGACGCGAAACATAGAAATAACTTGGTGTAGCCTAATAGGGGATTCACACGACGCGCAAACTCACGTGTGTGGTACTCTTTTTACTTGTGTGACCAAAACGGGTGCAAAGTCTTGATAAACTTGCTCGGGGTCCATAGGCCCCCGTTTGTGCTTTGCGCGCATGTAAAACCAGCGAAAGTACTGGAGTATGGTACTCAAGTTACATGAGTATGCTCGAGTACACAGACACATGCGAGATTTGTACGGGTCTGTTGTCCGTGTGAATCCGGTGGGCAGCTTGTCCACATTTACACAAACGTGTTTTCGTTCATTTTAATACACGTCGTGTGAATACCCTATAAAGCTGGTGGATGGTACTGTACTAATGTGCCAAAGCAATACCGTACTGGCAATATATGTTGCCGCGTAACGCGTAACGCAGGGGGGTGCGGCGTAACGCGCGACCAGGCTAGTGCGACAAATTTTCCTTGAGTTCGTAACGCGCGTCCGGCGGGGTGCGGCGATCTTTTCATTGCAGTTTGCACTGCAAAAAAAAGGCTGAAAACTGTGAAAGCACGTGTACCGCGTGGTGAAAAGTAGTTTTGGAGGAAGCGCTCTTCCCCTATGTCACTTTCCTTTTGATGATCTTTTTGTGAACAGATCACTCTGATAGTTAAAATATACAGTCTTCTATTGATATCGTTGTCGCCCTTTGCCGTCGAGTTTGTAACAGTTGGATAGCAACTGAATTTCTGTGCCTTCAATGTGGATGAAAAGAAAAAATGATGCGGCAAAAGCAAAAAAATCATGCGGCAATAGCAAAAAACTGATGCGGCAATAGCAAAAAAAGGACTGCGGCAATATAGAAACCTGTGTAACGGCTCCTGTGCGACTTTGCATGTAACGCCCTGCGTGCGGCAAACATGTGCCAATGTAACGCTTCATGGCCTCACTGCGGCAACATATATTGCCAGTACGGTACTACACGATTTTTCGATTTTCACGGCACGCGGAATACATGCATCAAGTTGTGTTGTCTGGGGATCATGTTTGGCATCGGTATTAAAGCTCTGAGTAACAACACACTCTTGATCTGCCTTCCGTATAATGGGCTCTACCATCACGCATCGAGTGCTCTAGGAACAGTAGGAATCCTCTACGGCGTACATGTACTTTAGACTTACCTGTAGAGATATTGCCACGGTCTTCTTGTGTGACTGAACATGTTGTGAGCGGCGATTAGAACGGGCCAGCTGTGTAACAAGCAGCAAAGGCAAATGCAGTCACATGACGGCGGCACTGCAATAACCTGACACAGAACAGGTGCCAGGCATTCAGCTGAAAACCCAAGAAGTGCAAAGTGGGTCATGGGATACGAACAGGTTTGCTTTGCTCTGAACAAAGTAACAACTGAAAAGTGAGCAAGGCAAGAAGCACAACTACTTCTTCGGAAGTAAGAAACAAGAAAGCGAGAACGTCAAAAAAAAGGTCCTCACCTCCTGTAGCTGGGCAATCTGATGGTTTAATACATTGATATCCTGCAAATAACATATGAATCAACACAACACACCTGACACGTCATATGGAGAGAGAGAGAGAGAGAGAGAGAGAGAGAGAGAGAGAGTGTGTGTGTGTGTGTGTGTGTGTGTGTGTGTGTGTGTGTGTGTGCGTGAGAGAGTAAGAGACTGAGAGAGAGAGAGTGCGTGTGTGTGTATGTGCGTGTGCGAGTGAGTAATACACCATTTCACTTGATTGTACTTACTTTATTGTACATCAAAGTGTAGACAATGTGTTCTAAAACTACAAGGCAATGTACATGCAAGTCTCCTTCATTCAGGAACAACAAACTGACCTCTTTGATAATTTGAGTGAGTTCTTGGATCTCCACAGCATGGTCATCAAATATAGAGCTGTCCTTGGCCACTGTGTGACAACAATAACAGGGGCAGCAGCAGCATCAGAACCAACAGCATGCAGACATTGTGAAGACAACACATAAATTCACCTGCACAGAGGTTTCCAGGCGGTACCAAGTAGGAAATCGAACAACTTTTTGTGGTGAACAGTCACTTTTTTGGTTGTACTACCGTAAAAGTCCGTAAATAAGTACCTGCCCGAAAGAAATACCCCCTTCATTCTTTTGGCTCTGTCTGTTGAAGTCAAGTCAAGCCCGATAAACATACTGCCCGAAATAAGTACCGGTACGATGCGCACATGCAGCATGTACATCGACATGAAAATGACTTCTCCACTACACACAAGTCAGGTCGGAAAGATAGTTCGCGCCCGAAAGTCAGTACCCGCCCGAAAGTTAGTACGGGTGTGGTCACTAAATTCAAAAGTATATACGTACTTATTTACGGACTTTTACGGTAGTTGATTTGCAAAAACTAAGCGAAAAATTTCAGGCCAATTTCTCATAATGGCCCATTTTGAGCAAAATAAGTGGTAATTTGAGGAAAACCCCGAAAATGTCCAATTTTGGGGTGCTCATTACTCCACAATATTGATGGTGAGTCATTGGTGACCCGCTACTTTTTTTGGCCATTTCATCACGACATGGCACACTGAAGACACTGTATACTTCACATCCCAAACATGTCGGGCAAATTTGAAAATCTGATTAAGTTTCCAGCTACCTTGTTAATGAGCACGTTCGAATCAGCCCACATGAACGGAAACATCGCAAGTACTGGGCTGGGTGCAAGACAAATTTCCCCCTTGACAGGTCCCTACATCTCTTATAATTATTAATATTCTATGAAGTACTTACGCAAGGTCAGCTTCTGAAGTTTTGCGACAGTTTGACTCAAATCAACGCCAATTTGCCTGCATCACACATCCACACACATACAGCAAAACATCAAAACAGTGCAACAGCAGAGAGCATAAACTATGACCCGTCGCTTTGCTTCCGCCATGGATCGACATGGACCAACAGTGCACTGATTTTGGCTTGCTGATTTACACCGCTAGTAACTGGACCAATCAAAGAGGCAAGCTTTCTAATGTGCTCTTGCAATTTGCTTGGGGCGCTCACTGCATGTTCATGTTGCCTTCTTGTTCAATATTTTTCGTTCCTGATTTTTGTTTGGCCATGGCACCCATTATACGATCATTCACTGTTGAGTTCAAGTTATCAGTGTTAGGCTGGTACAAAGCCAATGAGAAGAGTACAAGACTGACAGCGAAGCACATTGATCTGGCTCCCAAGCGAGTGAGAGAGTGGCTAGGGATAGAGAAGCAGTTGAGGCAGGTAAAGGGTGAAGGCCGTAGGAACAGGACAATTTGTGTGAATCGGCAGCCGCTATTACCCATGCTGGATGCTGCCATCCTGGACTACCCTACACGATGAGCGTGCTGCAGGACGAACCGTGTCGATAAGGATTTGCAGCGAGAGGCTCTGCGGTTGTCGGGACCCAACCTCATAAATCTGCAGGATTTCAAGGCAAGCTGCATGTGGTTCCGACGTTTCAAAAAGCGGAATAGTGTGACCTTGCGTTGCGGAACAAATGATGCGCAGCAGTTACCACATTGTCCAAGTCGTACACGCGATGCATTTAGCAGGCCGCAAGCAGTGGTTTCGGTTCAGATAAGACTTCCAAGATCCGAGCAAGCAGCTTCAAATAGTCTATTCAACATCGGGTTTTTTTTAACTGACCGTACCGGCACAATGGGATCTCTTTCGTTTAGCTTCTGGTGTGAATTCCGCAGCATTCGTCGGTCACAGATTCACAGTGCTTTCCAGTGGAGGAACGAAGCCTTGGAGGCGGCAGGCGGAAAATGAGAGTGACCCAGAACGCGATCCTCGTCTGTCAGGCAGGCAGATGTTTTGCTTTCTTGCAGACAGGAATTTCAGCTGTTCTTGCCGTGTTCTAGCCACAAATCACTGTTTCCATAGATTGCGGAATATTTCCTGCACAGAATCCGAGAACACGTTGGTGCCCCCTCCCCCCCCCCCCCCCCCCAAATTCACAGTCTTGCCACAACCACAATAATTATCAATTGAACATATTCGTCGCTTCCATGGAGGAGATTTTGGTAGTGTCTCCTTCAAAATTTAACTAAAGTATGGGTCCCAGCAATCACCGGCATGCACTGTTCACATACCACTTTCATTTAAAAGCGCATGGCATCAGTGCCGGAGCATGCTTGGAGAGGTGACTGTCCAACTCTCCCAGCCCTGACCACTGGCAATTTCCGCGATTTCCCAGGAGATTATGGTATACATTCCACGGCTTCACAATAAGTGAATGCCACAGGGAGAGACGGCAAGCCTTGAAGAGGCACTCCTGGCCCGGGTGCGGTGCGTATAGGCAAGATGTGAAACAGCCCCAATGGATATGACAGACATTGCAGGTACATGTATGTGTGCTTCAATTAGAGACTTTGCCAGAAAAAGAAAGAAAATAAATGTAAATACTGAATACACAGGGGTAGGGAAAGTAACTCCATACTAGTAGTCACTTCTGATGATAGGGACACGAGGTGCTCGAGGCCTCATTGTAATTGTATTGATCTTGAACCCCCCCCCCCCCCCCCCATCTCTCTCTCTCTCTCCCTCTCTCTCTCTTTCGGTTGCACAGCATGGAGGATAAAGTGGGCTGCCCTCACTGGGTGCCATCTTTAGTATGCAGCAGCGAGTCATGGCATCTAGGGAGACAATACGAGACCAGGCCCTGGATTAGTAAGTTCAATGTGACCTGTTGTCTATGCAACTCGCAACCGCGACCGGGAATTGGACGCCATATGCGAGCGTAGCATAAATCAGCTCTACCCCTAGGGCGACTGAACAGGCAGACAGGGAGTGAAACCCACACCGCTTCACGTTCCCATCGCTCATGTCATCTTCCTAGATGCTACGACTCGCTGCTATGCAGCCAGGGTATCTATTTCAAAGTATCTGATGGAGCTATGAGTGTCCCAAAGGATAGATACGCCATACCGCCCTACTCACCATCGTCGTATGCACAGTGTAATTCACACACATGCCAGTCACACATAATCATAATGTTTAGGCACGCTTATTTCAATCTGTCCCCGGGGAAAATTGCGGAAAAAATCGCAAAAAACGCGGGAAAAACGCGGCATAATATGGCATAATTTGCGGTGAATTTGCGGTAAATATGCGGTGAATAATATTGATGTGCGGCAATTTTCAGTGAGTATGTAGTGAAATCAATCAGTTACAAGTCTCTGGTGTAAGCACTCTCGTCATATTTAAGTAAAAAGCCGCCACGATGAGACGTTGCTGACCGAACAGTGCACTGTGTGTACGTGTAGTGCAACAAAAAAGTTCAAAAAAACGGGGGAAAATCGCGGAAAACGCGGTCTTTTAAAAAATCGCAAAAAAAGCGGAAAAAAATGCAGCCGCGGAATCGCAATTTTCCCCGGGGACAGTTCAATGTACCAAAATACATTACAATTACAGTCGACTCCACTTATAATGAACTCGCATGGCGAATTTCGTGATATAGCGAACTGTTGTTCATGTCCCTGTTTGAACACGTACAAAATTGATCCTTTATAGCGAACAGTTTTCATTTATGGTTGATAAATATGGTGGTAAAGACACACCCGGCAATATGGCGGTAAACACACGCCTGCCCACACACGCTCTCTAGGCTGCAAAGTTCTAGCACAGAGCTCTCCTTCTCACCACCACCACCATCAGTTCGCGCCTGGCGCCTGGTCGATGCAACTTCATTCTCCCGAGTTTTCATTTATAATGAACCAAATCTTGTATGGTCGCATGTAAACCAAGGGCGTTCATGCTGTCATAGTCATACGGTAATACGACTCATAGTAATACCCCCCCCCCCCCCCCCCCGACTCATAGACCACTTTCCAGTCAGGACTTGCTGCTTGTACGGTGTGTGCATTTCTGTTATAACGAACTTCGGCTATAAAGAACCAATTCTTCTGCACAATGGTGTTCGTTATATTAGGAGTCGACTACAGTATAGCACACCTACAAACAAGTAAGCTACACCACATCATTGTCATCAATAATCAAGTTATCCAGCGTAAAGCTGAGACCATAATTATTTCCATAGCCGAGTGCCCTAACACCAAGAGGAGCAAGGCGAACAAAGAACTCACTTTGCTATTTTTCCAAATGCGTCCGGCTCAATAGCCTGCTTTCTATGTGGCCGAGCAAATCCATTCGCCTGCGTGGACACAACAAGACAATTTTTGTCACCCTATCGCCTCACAGCAGTTGCCTCACTCATCAGAGAAACACTAACTTGACGGCTTTGAATGGACTGTACAGCAGAGAGGAACTCCTGAGTTCGATCACGGCCAGTCATTTCGACTGCTTCCGCTGGTGAAGATGACTGTCTCTCAAGTTCGGCATCAGCATGTGGAGTCCAGCCAAATCCCTGGACTTGACTTCCAGGGTATCTTCGCCGGCGAGCACCGTTATCTCTTGATATTTCAGCCAGTTTGGCCCCTGGAAAATAAGCTAGCAACCGCCGCAAAACCTTTCAATTCTACTCACGCACACTTCGTTCTTACATGGACTACACAAGCAGTACTACCCGCAACAGCTACAGGCCAATCCAATGCCCCCAAAGAACAAAAGAGAAACAAAATTCTGTTCAAGAGTTTGTCCTCGACTGTCGGCCTGCTGCATGATGTATGATCTCAGACAGAGTCAATGCATGCGTAGCTGCAGTGCTGTTGAGTGCTATGCTGGGTCCTATCTTCGTCATGACCTGACTCTAGCTAGCTGGCCGGGGCCCGGCGCCCGGGGATCGAGATTGACTGGCACTGCACAGCTAGCTACGTACAGCTCTATGACTATGTTCAACGTGGACTTTTGGCCACGTCATTGCGGGGGATACCCCGGTTACCGTCAGGCCAGCAGCACCGTCACGTAGTGAGGTTTTGCATTCCGAATTTCGGTTCGGCGCTTTTCGGTCATTTGTCGAACATCAAAGCAGGGAGTAGTACCGGGAGGTGACACGGGCACACATCCGGGATTACGAGCTTTGCCTCACAAAAAAAATACAAACCGCGCGAAAATTCAAATTTTTGCTCTTTTGACAGCGCTGAGAAACCTTCAAATAGTGACGAGAAGACCAGACGTATCCCTTCGTGACAAGCTGCCACTTGTTCTTTTCAGCTCGAGCCTTTTTTGGGAGCTACTCTGGTACATCGTCCACACTGCTGCCAAGTCTCGACTTCCCAAAATGGATGGAAGTGACGAATATGGAGGACGCTATCCTAGGTAAGTAACGTGATGGAATTTTCTCATCTTGACATGGTGTAACACGAACCTGAATTTCTCATTTGGACCCACTCGGACACCTCACCAAGTTGGGATATTTCGAAAGTATACCTATTTGTCTACCATTCTACTTCATCTCAACGTGTTAGCTTATGTAACTCTTTGGAAAACTCATTCTGAAAATTTTGAAACTTATTTATTTGTATAGACTTGAACATAATGTTCAAGATCACTTGTTTTCAGCACTGAATGAGGCCAGGCCTGCTTGCTTTGTTGCTTTTTTAACCCCCAGAACCCGTGGACAGAAGAGGAAGAGCGACGACTTGGGTGCGGCTGCGAAGTCTGCCTGCCCAACGCCAATTGCTCCTCACCCAAAAAGTAAACAAATTATATAGCAGGAGTGGTTTCAAGTGGTTTCAATGCATTTTGTTTTGGGGATGTTGGTGTGTACTTATGCAGTCCTAGCGTGTTGAGCAATAGCAATCATGAGAAGGGTATAATTCTGCAATACAACATTGTTGATTATAAATATGACACTGAAGCAATGCTGAAACTACGTTTTGGGGTTGTATTTGTTTTCATGCGTGTTCTACAGCGCACCCCATTGACGAAGATCATCCTTGTATTCGGTATTGTACTACTCCCTGATTACAAGTCATGTCACCTCACTCTCAGCAGATCAGGCCACAAGTACCGCAACCACATGGAGGTTGCGGCGAGCAACCTCCATGTGCATAGGGTTGCTCGGAGCTGTGGCTGCTGACGCAGGCTTCCTATTCATAGTGAAATCAAGAAGAAGGGCAAATAGTGCACCGGACACTCTGACACCTGTACAAAACACCAATCCACGCACGCACACACACACAAACACGCATTGTCTATGAAAAAACAAACACTTCAAAGTACAATTTGGTACAATAAATCTCTACAGCGCAATAGGAACAGAAAATGACCAGTATGATGATGACATTACCTGTACTTGCAGAACTGGTGTCTAGCTCTTGGAAAATAGTTGACGAATTGCGAAGTAAATCAGTCCACACATTTGAGACATTCGTGCACTCTCCTCTCCTTAATTTTCCTAAGGCCTTGTTCTTGAAAAACAACGTCTGCTGCTGCTCACAATTTATTATTGCCTGCCGAAAGTGAACTATGAACAGCTCCACATTTGCAGGGTGCTTGTCCAGTGAGCAGAGTTGCTGAGCTACTGCCACCTCATGTTGGCAGTAGCGTTGCATGTCCGAGTCCTTGCACAGATCTGGTGAGATGTAACCCAAAGAGAAATGAGAATGTGAATGACTGAAAGTCAACAAACTATACTCTGTTGAAGACCACTCTTACCTGCTGCCCATGTCAAAATACTGGACACACTGAAGGTATCCGGCTCAGGTACAATGGCTACTTGGCATACCTCGTCTGATTCCTCCTCGTCACTAGGAAAAAGTAAAACATTTGTTGTCTCCATTGCACAGACAAACTTCTTGGACAGGTTCTGGAAAACAAGAATGATTATGGTGATGTTGTGGCACCAAAACCTTTTGTCACTGGCAAATATAGAGGTTATGCGATAACGTCAAATCCGCCATATATAGGAGCCAGTTGGGGTGGCAAAATGCCCAAAGCGGGTACAGAAACCCCTTATATAGAAGAATTTGGGGTGGCAATGACGTGTATCGCATAACCTCTATACACCCACACACCTACACACATGCGCGCGCACGTGCGCATACATACAACTATTCGTCTTTATCCTTTTGTGTTTGACATGATTCCACGGTGCCATGAAAGTAACATTGGTGCCATAAAAGTAACATTGGTTATAATCAAGGAGTAATGGTATTGTACGATTCTGATTGCGTATGCTCTTGGTGGCCATATATATCAGGAAGTAGTACAATACCGGTATTGTACTACTCCCTGATATATACTATAGTTCATCGTCACGCAGCTCCCCACAAAGTACAAATTGTAGTAAAAGCAATTACGTACTAATACGTATAGTAATATGCAGACACATACAACTAGTAGTCACACAAAGTATCTATAATAAGCACACGTACTAGGAATAGTACGTAAGCAGGCTATCTTTATCCTTTTACGCTTGGTCTGATTACCTGCATACACGACTTACACGGCACGGTCTTCCACGGCATGGTCACTTGCACCAGTAACATTGTACATAATTCCACACTGCCTTTATCATCAACACCAGTTCCTGTTAACGCGTAACATCTCAGGCTTTGTAGCAGGGAGTAGCACAGTGCCATTGTACCATTGTGCTACTCCCTGCTTGACACAGACTTGCGTCATAGTGACATTTGCGAATAGCTGCCCCTGCAGTATAAAATTTATTTTATTTTGTGTTTCTCTCTGACGACTATAGCATCTGGATTCGGAATAGCCTTACTATCTTGAGACGGGTCAGCCATACCTGAAACATGTTGTTCATTGTGACTAAAACTTGAGTCAACATTATCTATTCCCCTAGAAACGACGTGAATAACTAAATGTAATACAAATTAAATTAGGAAGAAAATTTCACTCTTACAAGCCGCCCACGTAAATACTGGACACACTGAAGGTACCCGTGCGAAGGCCAGCTGCTACTTGATATCCTTCGTAGGATTCATCCTCATCACTCAGCAAAGACTGATGGATTCGTTCCCTACATCGTCAAAACAAACTTCAAAAAGTACTGCTCGAAAACTTCTTGACAGCATTCTGCCACTCTCTTCAAGTCGTTCTATGAATTTTTTTGAAAAATGCTACGAAATGCTACGATAAATGGTACGCGAAGTACGATATTTCGTGACGTTTCCCGGGACACAGCGCGCGAAGTACGATATTTCGTGACGTTTCCCGGGACACAGCGCTCCACAGAAAAGTGACCTGAGGCAAAGCTCGCCCGCCTGAATGTGTGGCCGTGTCACCTCCCGGTATTGTACTACTCCCTGCATCAAAGTGTCGAATTTTCGGCACCAACGTTTGTTTTGCAAGTCGAAAATGATGTGTTTTCATTTCGTGAGCCCTAGCATCAGCAACGTCCTGTCCCGTGCTCCTATTCTTGCTGATTCCAACGAACTTTGATCGCCCTAAGAGCCGAGGGCCTAACCTATCTCCTCGGTCGGCTCAGAAAAACCAACTCCATGGCCAAGTCAAATTTTATGAGTATCGCCATACTCTTTTCAGCCACACAGATGACGGTGAGGACACTCCAGGCGAAAGAGAGTAGACAAGCAGTGGAGGAGCAATCAGAGGTAGCTGACGACGCTGATGTCGCCAAAGACGCCTGGGAAGCGATGCCGAGATAAGAAACCTCTTTGAATAAATCACGCGCTAGCGCTCTTCTACAGAAAATTCATCCGAAAAATATTTTCGGCAAAGTGAGCTTTTTCCGAACAAACATGCCGAATCTTCGCGTGCATTTTCGACCTCGCTCCCGCGTGCCGAATCTTTTTGCCGAATTTCGGAATGCAAAACCTCGCTAATAACTGTACCGTACTAGTGTACATGGTGTACGTTCTCAGCTACAAAATTATTTGTACAAGACTGTACATTGTATCAAGCAGGGAGTAGTACATACTACTCCCTGGTATCAAGAGTACATACATACCGGTAACAGGTAATGCATTATGTACTCTTGATTGTATCAAGAGTCTAGTACGAGGTGATTCGTCATTATTTAACACGAAAGTAAAAAAGCCTTCCGTAGGGTTCGAGGTGCGAATCTTTCCATTTCTTCCTCTAAAAATGTAATACTGATGTCCTTGGATTGCAATGTTGGGTTTCTCATTCACATAATCCTTGGTGTTGGGAAGCAGGTGGCAGTTGAAAAATGGCAATTTTTCCTCATATTATTTGTTGTGGTCATTTCTTAACATCATGGTAAAATAGGCCTTAGCAGCACAAATTCAAGTCAGTTTTCAATAGAAAGAGAGCCTACGTATCCAGGATGGTCCAGCAAGACTGGATCAAGATCATGTTCATCCAAATACAAGCCATTCAAGCTTGCATAGCAATAGGTGTATCACCCTGATTTCATGTGCAATTGTGATCAACATCTGTTAGCAAATTCAGTGATTGCCAATGTTTGGCCATTACCAGGGCCAACACACCGACATTCCTCCTTCCCAGGCGTCGTTTCCAGTATGTAGCTATCATATGCTTCTTCTACAGCTAAATATGTTGTCACTGGAGGTTGAAACCAGCGGCTATGACTCTCTTATACTCTATTTTACCGTAAACATCGCGCACATGCAGACTGAAAGCTCTTGCAATGTCACTTCCTGAAGGAGTATCAGTCTCAATTTTGGAGGCGAACTTGACAGAACATTGGCAATGGCAATGGCAAAAAGAAATTTGACGTGACTTTTTGCAGGCGCTGGCAATGAGATATTTTACCGATTTGTTAAGAAATGACTCAATGTTAAAAAATTCCCAATCACCTCGTACTCTTTGATTGGAAAGGCTTCCTGTCTGAAGCCTTTCCAAGTTTTTTTCCATACTGCCTTACTGGTACTCGTACTCGATGTTCCAGTTTTGTGACACGAGAATGGCACGAGAATTAGTGTACCGCTGAGTGTACCGCTATACACGTGGTGCATGGTCGACACGTAGTCGACACTTTGTTGATACTTTTTTGACACGTGACCCGTCAACGGTCTGCTTTGTTTTTTTGTTTTTTTGTGCTTGGTGCCAATGCCACTCGGTAAACGCCGATGTCGCGTACGACAAAGACGACTATCCCGTACGCGAAATAGTTGAGAACTGCATGACGTGGACCTGACGGCAAGGACAACTGCGAGGAGGCCCTGCCTTTCGGTACCCCTGACGGGAAGGAGAACTGCAGAAGTCGACGAAGTCGAACGAGGAGGCCCCTTTTCCGTGCCCCATACTGCAAAGATTAAAGGGGAAGTGCATCGATTTTTCAAGTAGGGCTCAGATGAAAGACAATTGGATATTGGTTCCGATGGTATAGCTCGACTTGTCAGGGGTTCTAGGGCTGATAATCCCCTGACCCAGGGGATTATTCTTCATAATCCCCTAGGTGAGGGGAAAGAGCCCAAGACTTTGGACTGCTCTCACTATACCCAGCGAGAGTAGGCCAAAGCAAGCTAGCCAAACAAACCCCAAAGAGCCAGCCTGGAAGCCGCTGTGTGAAATCTCAATCTAATGATCTTATTATAGGAAGGTAATTGAACAAGTGGACATATTTACAAAACTCTTACATGAGCAGCGTGAATATGTTTTTTGTATTAGATTATTATTATTATTATTATTAAATTTTTGATAGGGCAATCCCCACAGGCCTAAGGCCTTCTTACAGGGTACCCTCCGGCAACGTCTGTAGGGCCTTCCCTATCAAAATAATAAATTCTACTACTACTACTACTACCCTAAATGTGCCAATACAAGGTAACGGAAGCGAGAAACAGATGTGCAAAGGCGAATGTCAGCAGGTAGAGAGTTCCAACGATCTGAGCCTAGAAAACTAAGAGAAAAAAGACCATACCGATTTAAAGCAGCGGGAAGGGCTTTAGAAACTTGAGAGCGTGTGCGCGAGTTTGTGTGTGACGATGCACTGCGCAACGAAAAACAACTAGAGAGTAGGGGGCTTGCTAGATCATTTTAGTGAACGAAAAATAAGAACAAAAAGTCTGAGCTGATACCGAGCGGCCAGTGGGAGTAAATGGTTGCGTTTTTGTAGATGAACATGGATGTGAACGTGCAATTACAGCTACTCATGAATAATAATTGGCAACAAGGTACATGTGTCTGCAACGTCAACGACAACGTTGCCATGGGAACTGAACAACAAATGAAAGCAAATTATTATTAATATTTAAAGAGTCGGCGTGGAGAAAGCAATTTTATTAGTGCAATTAGGAGTATAATAGATGCGGAAAAAATCGATTTTGAATAACATAAAAATCCTTAAAAATTCCATGAACTCGTTGTTGTCTGGCCATGTCTGCATCTATTATACTCCTAATTGCATTATTATTATTATTATTATTTTTATTTATTTTACTAGGGTGTTTCCCACAGACCTATGGTCTTCTTACGGGAGCCCCTAGAAAGGTTAAGCATGAACGAACAAATGGGCGATAATCTGTACAAGAGCGAACAGTGGAAGGCAGCATATTCCACCGATCAGAACCTATGTAGCCAAGACGAGAAAAACCAGCTTTAGTGTGGGCGGAAGGAAATACATTGTATTGTATCGTAAAATAGGTTTACTATTGAACCTAAACAAGAGAAATGTTGCTCTTTGTGTTTTGAATTCGCAAGAAATCCAACACGCCCGCATTTCGATCTCAACAACAATGTTGCCATGGAAACTGAACACTGGTCATACTGCCCATCAGGCATCGATCACCCTCACTCCCTCCCCCTCAAAAATAATTAATTGGCTGAGAAAATTCAAAGAGAAAAACGCACAGATCAGGACTAAGGGTGCGTTCTTATATTCTCTAGCTTCTAGAAGAAG